GGGACGTGGATTTGTGGTTTTTTCCCAACCTAAACAATTCCATGAATTCCAAGAGCAAAGTGTGAAAGGAGAAACAAAACCAACACACTTTGAAGAGGATACAGGTTTATTCTGCTTTAAAAAACTCAACAAAAACATACCCTAAACCCAACAAAATAACCCCAAAACCCAACAAAAATATCCCCCAAAATATCCCCTAAGCTCAACAAAAGTACCCCCAAAACCCAATAAAAATACCCCATAAACCCAACAAAAATATCCCCCAAAATATCCCCTAAACTCAACAAAAATATCCCCTAAACCCAACAAAAATATCCCCCAAGACAACCCCTAAACCCAACAAAAATATCCCCCAAAATACCCCCTAAACTCAACAAAAATACCCCTAAAGTCAAGAAAAATACCCTCTAAACCCAATAAAAACACCCTCTAACCACACAAAAATACCCCTAAAAACCCCCAAAATACCCCCCTAGACCCAATAAAAACACCTCCTAAAGCCAAGAAAATTACATCCTAAACTCAACAAAAATATCCCTCTAAAACCCCAAAAATACTCCCCTAAACCCATCAAAAATACCGCCCTAAACCCAATAAAATTACACCCTAAACCCAACAAAAACACCCTCCTAAACCCCCCAAAATTACCCCCTAAACCCAAGAAAAATACCCCCCTAAACCAGAATAAAAACACCCCAAAATCAAACAAAAATAACCCCTAAACCCAACAAAAATATCCCCTAAAATATACACCCTAAACCCAATAAAAATACCCCCCTAAACCCCCCGAAATACCCTCCTAAATCCCCCAAAATACCCTCTAAACCCAACAAAAATACCTCCTAAACCTAGTAAAATTACACCCTAAACCCCCCCAAAATACCCCCTAAATCCAACAAAAACAAGCCCTAAACCCAACAAAAATACCCCCTAAACCCCACAAAAATATCCCCCCAAAAACACCCCCTAAACCCAACAAAAATATCCCCCAAAATATACACCCTAAACCCAATAAAAATACCCCCCTAAACCCAACAAAAATACCCCCTAAACCCCCCAAAATACCCTCCTAAATCCCCCAAAATACCCCCCAAACCCCACAAAATTACCCCTAAACAGAACAAAAATACCCCTAAACCAAACAAAAATAACCCCTAAACCCAATAAAAATACATCCTAAATCCAACTAAAATACCACCCTAAACCCAATAAAAACACTCCCTATACCCAAGAAAAATGCCCCCAAACCCCAACAAAAATACCACCCTAAATCCATAAAAATACCCCCTAAATCCAACAAAAATACCTCCTAAACCCAATAAAATTACACCCTAACCCCCCCAAAAATACCCTCCTAAACCCACAAAATTACCCCCTAAACAGAACAAAAATACCCCTAAACAGAATAAAAACACCCCCTAAACCCAAGAAAAATGACCCCGAACCCCAACAAAAATACCACCCTAAATCCATAAAAATACCCTCTAAACCCAACAAAAACACTCCCTAAATCCAACAAAACCAAGCCCTAAATCCAACAAAAATATCCCCTAAACCCCACAAAAATATCCCCACAAAGATACCCCCTAAACCCCACAAAAATACCCCCAAATCCCAACAAAAGCACCCCCCTAAACCCAACCATCCCAAAAGACGCTTTGATTCCCTTTTCCAGCCTCTCCCAAAAAACCCCCCGTGCTCTGGTCCCTCCAGCAAACCTGAAACCCCAATAAATCAGCAGCCCCATTTCGGGGGGAAAAACCCCCGGACTGAAATCCTAATTCTGGATTCCTGGGAATTTCTGCCGCTTCCATGATTCCCAAGGGTGCCAAATATTCGGGAACACACCGGGAAGCTCAAAAAAAAATCCCCCTGGCAGCAACAAATAACTGTTGGGTGTGTTGGGAGCAAAGAGCACGTGGATAAATAAAAGGGAAACCCCAAATCCCATAAAATTCCAAGTGGGAATTGGGGACAACGTGCAAATTCCTTGAGGGAAGGAGAGACTCAGTGAGTTTATGTCCAGTGAGTTCCACCTGGGAGCAGCACAGTGTGGGACAATCCCTCAATCCCAGGGCTTGGAATTATGGGATTTTGAGCCCTGAGGAAACTCCCTGTCCCTGGAATTCCTCATCCCAAATTTTCGTGGCTTTTCCCACCTCCCGGGCGGAGCTGAAGCTCTTTGTAAATAGATTGGAGGAGGAAAATGAGGGATTAAAGGTTTTCCCTCTCCCCGGGGTCCCTGTGGAGCCACCAAACAGCTGGAAGTGAGAGCCGAGGTCAAAATCCTTGGAAACATCCCATGGTTGATATTTAAAAGGTTTTCCAGGCTCAGGAAAAATTGAACTGGGAGAGAAAATCCTTCGGGATCTCAGGATGGAGCTGCAGGTCCCCTCAGCCC